TGTATTGGTCAATGCTCCCTTTATTAATGCATAATAAACGGTTATTAATGATTTATAAAGAGATCAGATGTGATTTAATACAAATATTTATTAGCCATCTTACTGTAAAGTGATACACAATTTACATATAAATATATTTTGTAAAATTCTTGAAATAATACAAAATAAATGAATATCTGTTTCATTTTATTTCTTGTAAGAAATGTTTTCTATATATATATATATATGTGTGTGTAGGTATATATATACACATATAGTGGATTTACTTTATTTTATTGTGTTTCGTGCATGAAACTGTTTGAAACGTTTGCGCAGGATACGCTGCGTGGACTGCAGTGGGCTCCGGCTGCGTCTCGGCTGTGTAAAACCTCAGTGCTTCAGTAAATGAGCTGTCTGATGAGCGCCTCTCGGGTTTCTCTAATATCTCTACCACATTGCGCCGCGCCTCCTCCTTTAACCCCCGCAGCCCGGGGGGCCAGATTATTTCAAGATGTGGGCCCTCCGCCTCCTGCGCCGCGGCGGCCGGCGCTGCCTCCTCACAACCCGGACACGTAAAGCAATCCCGGGGCAGCCGATCACTCGGAACTGCTCTCAGAAAGAGGCTTGCATGCAGAAAGGATTCATTTCTCCCCCTCGCTTCTCTCTCTGGACTCTTTATTAACTTTTAAAAAACGGACACAATGGCAGCTTTTGTGCAGCTGAAATCTAAGCTGTTCAGGTTTTAGGGAGTCAGAACATTTTCATCATGAAAAAGAGCAAATCAACCATTTATCCTAAAGTGGTTTTCACAGATTTAAGCTGGGCAGGAATTTAAGACTTTACAGAAATTATAGCGATGGTTAAGTTGTTGTTGTTGTTTTGTTTTTTTGCAATAAAAGATGAAAAGAAGGAAACGATTAAATATTAAGTAAAAAGGGAAATCAGCTCTTAAAAATACCACCTTTAAAAAAAACCTGTATTTTTCTTTCATTTTCTTCTTTTTATGAATGGAGCGCAGCTTTAATGAATTATATGTGATAGCAGATAGCTTTAGACATCCGTCCTCATGTTTTTTTGTAACATTAAACGTTTTCTCTGATCCATTTCCCTAAATGAAACTGGCAAACAGCGCATCATTTTTGCAATTTCTAAGAAAAATGATTAGAAATGTTGAAGTGGAGACATCCAGAGAAGAGGGAAAAGGTGCAGCTCCTTCCATGAAAACAAAACACAACTGTTGACATGAGTGAGTTAAATGAAATTGGAGCTGCAATTATCAGCTTAACAGAGTTTCCTGTCATGTTGGAAAATTAGACCTGGTACAAGTGCGCTGGGGTTAGAGCCCCCCTTCCTGTACCATCAAAATCATTACGCATTTCCTCAGAGGGCCTACCTCCACAAATATGCAATTAAGAGGCGGCTTTTACAGAGCTCTGCCTCAGTAAACACACCCCGGGTGTGCAGATGAGGACATTTGTTTTAAAGAGGCTCCGTTTTCTGGCTGCAGGGCTGATAAATAAACAAACGAGGCAGGCGGACAAACACAAACAAACAAAATGAAGGATTTAAACGCGGCTGAAGTGAGCTGTGGGCGCCTGCAGGGAGGGGGCGCTGTGCAGTCACACAGGCGTCCTCCGGGGTTTTCAGGAGTCGTGCAGCAGCTGTGATCCTCTCTGGTCATCCGGGCTCCTGCTCCTGTTACAGCCTGCTGGTTTCTCTTTGGGAAACACCTCTGACGGCCCTGATGCTGCCTCACAGCTGCTGCCTCCTCCTCCACACATGCACGCTTAAAACTGTCCGCATGAGTTATGCTTTCTGCCCCATGCCATCCAGGACAAATCGGTGAATCATGCGCTGGTTGCATGCCTGCAGCTGAGTGACGGGCGACAGCAGATAGTTGCTTGAGTCAGGAAACCTCCCAACTGTTGTCCGATAGTTAGAGGTGACCTACTGAGACCAGATCCACGCAAAACATGTCCGCTACGTTTTGTATTTGACGCAAAATCATTTTTTCACTGCAAAAACACAAAATGTCTCTGGTTGAATTCTTTGTGAAAATATCTTTGTACATTAAAATGAGACAAAAGTAACTTTTTAACAAAATGTAGAAGCTTTTTGTAAATAAACAATTTCTTATTACTTCCTCTGGTAGATTATTTCACTGATAAAGTAAATTTTTACATCTAACAGAGGAACTACACATTTGATTGATCAATATTAAGGAATTATTGATTTAAAACAAGCTCAAATGTATTGTTAAAGGGTCACTTGTAAGTTAATTTAGTCATATTTTAAGTGTACTTAGTTATTTGTGGTAGAAATTTAACAAAAAATAGGCAAGATTTTGTGTTTATGCAGCTGTTTTTTCTGTCTTGTAACTTTGAATCTCAATAAGTTCCTTCTGGCCACGCCCCTCACTCCATGTTTACTGGCACAAAATGGCTGCTGACAGATGCACAATTATACAACTCTGGGTCTTAGAAAAGCAGACATAGAGCCTCCTGCACAGCCATCAACAAAGTCATAAGTGGTTACATTGGATGATAAATGAACAAAACATGTTGTATTTTCCAGCAGCCATTGTACAGCACATGTGACGGCTAACTGAATGTGCCCAGCTCGGGTTGCTAGGTAACTCTTTGGATTACTGCAACTCCTAGAGTTCTGGGGTTGCTAGGCAACTGTGCATTGACCAATCAACAATCTTTTTTTTCTTCTTCTTTTTTTAAAGGGCTTGTTTTCCAGACACCAAACAAAGATAAAAAATACTTACAAAACAGCTGGATGTTTTTTTGTAAACACTTGGGTTGTTTTTACAAGCAGTAGAAATCAAAATGGAAGTATAAAAACATACAAACTGTGTATTTTGTGTAATACTTTTCCTCTAAAATAACATATTTGATTCCGCCGCTGAGTATCGGTGCAAACAGACGACGTTTCTGGCAGAACCAGGTTGGTTAAAAGTGGTGGGTCTGCAGCCGGCTGGTACCCGCTGACCCCTTGCCCTCTCATTAGTGGGACGTAGAGTGGTGGAGTACCTTGCTCCCCAGGTCATGTTACATGTGGCTTGCAGTCTGCTGCGTCGCATTAAATATCAGCTTTGAAACCATCTGAAAGATCAGGGGTCGGTGTTTTTAATAAGGCCAAAGTTCTGGGAGGAGCTCCCTCTCTTTTACAGCTCAGGTTTTATGCTTTTTGATTTAAATTGTGAACAAAATTACCCACTGATTCAGAGATATAGGATTATCCCGGTTTTTCTGGTTTCCATCTTTGTTCTGCTGAACACAAAAGGTTGAATTTGGAGTTTTTCCTCCGGCCTCCTCCCCGTGAGAGCCGCAGACTCTGAAGCCTCTGCTGCAAATGGGATATTGTTCTGGGCTCCAACAAAGCTGTTTTCACCCTCTTCAATATTACAGGAGGAGTCACCCGATACCCAACAATCAGCTAATCCACTGCCCATGGCGACGAGGTCACCTGTGCACAGGTAACTTTATCCTGGGTGCCTGCCTCTCCCTCCCTGTTTCCCGCTATAGTTGCTGCCATTTCCCCCTCCCTCCTTCGCCGCACCTCAACACTGAGCACAGACAAGCAGCCTCTGTTTATTTAGGTCAGCCGTTGGATCTTATCCCACAAATCCACAGAGAAAAACACTTCTGAACTTTAAAAAATTTAATTTCTGCCTCCGTCTCGTCTCTCCGCCCAGGTCACACTGCAAATAAGTTATGAAATGAGACAAAACTACATTAAGAGTAACTTTTCAGTGAGAAACAGGAGCTAGTTTGAAGTCAGTAATTCTTTAAAATTGATAAAAGAAGGTGCAAGTTCCACGGCAATGGATCAATGTCCAAAAACACATCCAGAAAGTTTTACCACGGGGTACCGCAGGGCTCTGAACTTGGGCCACTTCTTTGTCACTTTATCTTTTTCACGCTGAGGGCTATCCTTTAAAAATATTATTTAACTTATAAAAAATTATTTTTTCCCATGTTATAAATAAACTAATCAGCCAGTGGAAATAGTACTTTTTATCATTATTTTATCTTGCTGGAATGTTACGTTTACATTTGGTTATTTTGTCTTCTCCTTCAGAAATTCTCTGTAAAAACACAAAACATTACCAAGTATTTTTATTCTACTTTCTAGTGCAAATGTTTCAATGCAGTTGAAATGAGACAAAACTAGCTGAAGTTAGTTTTTTTTTTTTTACAGTTTTTTAAAGAAAATTTTGTAGCAAGATGTAGGAGCTTGTTTTAAGTAATTTCTTAATATTGATGAAAAGTTTCCAGTTTCAATGGCAGATTATTTCTTTTATAACATGAAAAAAATGTCTTGCTATAAGTGAAATAATTTTTCATCCATCTTAAGAAAACGTTGATTTAAAACAAGCTTCTATTTCTTGCTGGAGAGTCACTTGTAAGTTAAGATATTTGCACTAGAAGCTAGACTAAAACTACTTGGTCAAATGTTTTGCAGTGTGGACACGTATTGAAACGGGAAATTTACAGTAAATTCCCCCAAATTTGCAGGAAGAGCTGAGTGAGTGACAGCAGCTCACATGTGGAGGCGGTGGGGTTTGGCCTTCGTTTCAGGGGGAAAAGCTTTTGGTTTGGCCCGAGCTGAGGGAAGTTTTTGGACCTCCCACCCAAATGGAGCTTTACTTCTGGAAATCTCATTGCTGTTTATTTGAATTACAGAGGCTGAGATGAGAAAAGGAGGCCTAATGAAGTCCAGGTTGTCGAGCATGTGCAAACCATCAGCACAGGTCTGCAGAAAGCTGCAGAAGGCTTGCTGGATTACTGCATGCTTCCCCCTCGCCGTCCTTTCAATCTGGCACCGCTGGACTTTTAAATATCGGGAGGACATGTGCTTTCTGCTGTAAACTCACATTCCTTTCAGGCTTACTGTGTCACTAAATCTCCATTATCCCATGTTGTTATCAGTCATCGTAAAATCAGATACAAATCAGGAATAAAACTGCCTTCTTCTTCTTCTTTTTACATTTTTATAAATATAAACTTTTATTGCAGTACGTAGATTTAGAAAAATACATTCACATAATTTCAGATGACAAGCATAAAATTCAAGCTAAGATAAAAAAACAAACAAAAACAAAAAAAAAAGACTTTTTGCTCATAATTTTTGGTTTATACCATTAAAGCACTGAGGATACTTTCACTGAAAGGTCTGCTCAAACATCCTGAAGACAGGAAGGCATGAAAACGTGATGACTTGGCTGTAAGGCTGAAATGTGTTAATGTAAGAACCTGTTGGGAAAACTGCTGGACAAATGGCCTCGGCGCGCCTTCAGTTAAAGGTCACCTATTATGCTTCCAGGAACAGGTTAGGATGGGCTGAACCAAAACGTGACTGTCACATTTTCTGCACAAAATCATTCTTAGATGATGAGATTTTAGTCCATTTTGAGCTGTTTTAGCATCTCTGTCACTTTCAACCCAAATAAGCGGCTGCTGGCCACGCCCCCTAACTTTACACTCGAAAATGGCTGCCAACAGATGCACAATTATACAACCGTACATCTTTGAAAAGCAGAAGTGGAGCCTTCTGCAAGTTCAACAAGAATGCAGCAAATGGTTTCTAGACGGTAAATCAACAACAAAACACTTGTTTTTTTTCTGGCAGCCATTGTGCAGTAGATACAGAGGTAAAACCAGCTGACCAAACATGCTGGAGCTCCACATGGGTTGCTAGGTAACAGTGTAATGCCTATAAAATGTGACTTTTCGAAATGGCTCACTTTCCAGACACCAAAAAACATTAACTTCTTGTCAGAAATTGTTTTTTTCAATGTTTGGGCTGTTTTCAGAAGCAGTGGAGACCCAAATGGAAGCATTAAAAACGACCAAAACGTGAATTTTGCATTATAGGTCTCCTTTAAGGAAACCTTCAGACACAGGCTGCAGACCTCTGAAGCTCATTTCTGCTCCACTTTGACTGAATCCCTCACAGCAAATGTTGAAAGGCACTGATATTAATGAAATAGTTTGATGCTGTGCAAAGATAAATGATTTCAACCATTTTTTTCATACTGAAGACGTTTCTGCCTGGATTTATTTTAAATTAACTCCTCGGGTTCCTACATATTTCATGTAGAAATTCAGGAATTTTCCAAACTCAGCCTTTTATGTTCATTTTAAAATATAAAACACAAAAGAGTGACTTTGGATTTACTTTCTACAGTGGATAAGCTTTGAATACAAAAACAAGGACATAATGAAAGAAAGGAGAGAATGAAGGAAGAATTAAGGATACAAGGGTGGAAGAATCAGAAAGAAAACAGTAAAGAAACCAATAAAAGGTGCAAGGAAGTAAAAATGACACAAATGAAAGGAAGGAGAAAGGAAAGAAGGAAGGAAGATTGTAGGACAGATGGAAAACACAAAAGAGACCAGTGAAGGAAATAAAGAACACAAGGAAGTTACTTAGGACTGAAGGAAGGAAGGAAAACAATGAAGGAAATAACAAAAGGACACAAAGAATAGAGCAACTTAGGAAACAAGGGAGCAAAGAAGGAAGGAAAGAAGAGAAAGACAATTAAATAAACTAGAAAGGAGACAAGGAAGGAGGAATAAAAACCCAACATGATCGACACCAGTGAAAGACACAACGAAATAAAGAAGGGACACAATCGAGGATGTTAGCTAGGAAACGGAGAAGGGCAGAAGGAAGGAAGGACGACCAAGAAACGATGCAAGGAAGTAAGGAAGGACACAATAGAAGGTGTTAGGTAGAAGATAAGGAAGGAAAGAAAGATGTAGGACACAAAGATGAAAGAAAACATGAAAAACACCAATGAAGGATGCAGGGAAGAAAAAGAAAGGACACAGTGAAGGAAGCTAGGTAGGAGGTAAGGAAAAGTAGGAAAGATAATTTTCTTTTGCTTATCAAACTTATGCACACTTGGGTTGAAAAGACTGAACTCAAACGTCTCTGCAGGAACCTGAAGCTGCAGCGTTATGAAGTGATGAAAGACGTCATCACTTCTGTGTTTGTGTCATGAGTCGCTGATGGGACTGGAAACAGGAACCAGGGCTGCAGCATTTCTTCTGGACGAGCCACGCATGGCAACCCGTCCAGCACAGTGGTTGTTTCAAACATTGTAATGCCACAGTGGTAGCGCAAAGGCCAAACAAGAAACAAGCTGTTGGGTATTTTTAGCCGCCGAAAGGCACATTTGTCGTCACTCTTCCACAGTCAAGGTTTCTAATAGGTTATGAAATGCAAAAGCAGCATTTTGTATGGACTTGAGAAGCTTTTAGAGACATTAAAATGTGTCCTCAAGGACACTTTTCTTCCTAAATCAGCAACTTTTCTGTGTTTGTTCACCATTTCCCTCCAGTCCTTCAGTGAAGCTGCTAGTAGGTTTCTCCCTCTCCACCCTCCACAGTGACCTTTGTGGTTCGACCCACATGATGCATTTGGTTTGGAGGAACATCCCGGTCACGTGACCCGAGGCATTCCAGCACCTGCTTCTGCAGATCACATCCACTCAACAGGAAGTAGCAGGTGCTGTCTATAAAGATGCTCATTTAAAGAAGCTCAGACTCAAAGCAGCGGCTACTTCAATCTGAAGCCTGGTCCACACGTAGCCGGGTCTGTTAGAAACAAATATCTACTGTTCTGTAAGGGCTGTTTTGGAAAGGAAAGAGTACATTTCAGACAAATAACTCAGACATTTTGTGTCTGTTCTCAGGAATTTTCAAAATTATACATTTTGGTACGTTTTTGGTTCGAAAGTTGAACATTTTTTATTTTTGAAACAGAAATTTCCAAGATTTTTCTAGAAAATTTCTGAGATTAATCTCAAAATTTCAGAGGTTTTTCTTGCAAATGTTCAACTTTAGAGCCCAGAAATTGTCTTGTTTTATTATGGTAAATTTTTTAGTGTAATGTAAAAATTTCTGAGTTTTTCTTTCAAACTTACATTTCCAGACATGTCCTTATTTTTTCTAGGAGATTTCTGAGATTGTGCTAAATTTCATTTTTTGTTGCAAATTTTAAACTTTTAGAGCTTGTAAATTTTGTTTTAATTTGTGGCAAATTTATAAGATTAATCCAAAAAAGAGTTTTTTCACTTGCAAATTTTCAACGTTTAGAGCCAATGAATGTTCTTGTTTTTCTGCTGAAATTTACTTACCCTTTTTTTTTAACTATATAGGATGACCCTCCTTTGCCGTGGTAAATATCTCTGTCATATTGTTTAAAAACTAATATTGAAAACAAGGGATCGGTTTTGTCCCTGAATGTTGTTTCAAACATGCCAAACCCATAGGGGGCAGTGTAGCGCAAAACTAAAACCTAGGTCAGCCAATCAAATCGCTTCAAACAGTAACTACTTTCTCTTAGGAGTCAAACATGGCGCCTGAGGTTCACTGTGGGAACGGATATACAAGTTGAACTACTTCTAAATAGCGAATTAGAATATAAAGATAATAAAATACAAGACGATGTTGTTTGGGAATTATGTTAAAGCAAGTTCGTGGATACATTGGCGCATTATTTGCCTTATTATTAACCTAACCTAACACAAATATGGAGGTTTTTTTAATATATATATCTGAAACGTAATAGTTTTTAGTGATATTAAACAGTTTTCGTGTAGACGAAGGAGCATAACTTGTAAAAATTTATTTGTTTTCCCAGATATCCGGCTACATGTGGACTAGGCTTCACAGTTCTTCACATGAATGTTGTTTTAACATGTCACAGCCTCTTATTTTCACGTTTCTGTAAAAAGGCCGAAGCAGCTCACCCACACGGATTCTTTCTGACTAGAGTGCATTTCAAAAGTGAAAATAAAAGCAAATAATTTAAAGGAAATCAATGCTTAAAAACTCACACTCACACGCACACAGAAGAGTAAAAAGATTCATCATGACTGCCCAGGTGGATGTGAGTGCTTCAAAGTCTGAGGTTAAAGGTCGGACATGCTCTCGTCCATCTGCACAGTCTGTAGTTTGGCTAGCTCCTTCCCCTCTTCCAGCTCCCCGCACATCGCCCGCACCATGGCGTTCATCCCCCGGGGCTCCGAGCCGTCCGCCTTGCTCTCCGCCAGGTTCATGTAGTCACTGTTCATCCCGGGGCCCATCAGGTGTGAGGGCGCGGCCTCTCGGTGCACCTCGTGGGAGCCCAGGTACTCCACCGGCTGCAGGTGGTGATGGGCGTCCTGGTCCGTCGGAGCCATCAGAGGCGTGCTGTTGGTGAGGGTGGTGTAGACCTCCGGCTCGGAGCTGGACGAGCTGACGGTGGCGTCGGTGTTGGCGGCGGCGTGATTGGAGGCCGAGTTGGGGCTGGCGTAGCTGATCTGACCGCTGGGGTCCAGGTGCAGCCCGGTGTGGTACGAGGAGTAAATCCCGCCGTCCAGAGGCTCCTTCTTGATGGCGGTCTGGTTGCTCAGGCTGTAGAGGACGCTGTTGTGGTGCAGAGACGTCATGGTCAGCTTGTCCTGCGGCTGGAAGGAGTCTTCACTGGACGAGCTCACCACTGCGTTGTTCAGAGACATGTTACCTGTAAAAACAGGAAGTAAAGTTAAAACGAAACTATGGCTGATTAATTGAGACTAATCAATTAATAGAATGATCGTCAAATAATAGCTGATTAATCGTTTACTGTAATTTAGAGACGCACACAAAAAAAACATATTCAGAGCAATTGAACCAAAACATTTTGCATTTTAATATATATATATATATATATTTTAATATGTTTCATGCAAAACATGTTTTTTCAAAGGAATTTAAGTACGTTTATTTTTCATCTTTTAATGTATTTCTAATGTATAAAAAAGCAGAAGTCTTTTTTTTATCAGAATAATCAATAGAAGAATTATTCGCTAAGATGATCGTTAGCTGCAGCCCTGAAACAGATGTTTATATTCATGAGGATCTTTGATTTTGTTGTTCAAGAAGACAGAAAAAAGCAGCCGAGATATTATGAATATTTGAAAATAAATAATTTACTAAAAAGAAGCTCCTATATCTATGTTACTTTTGTGTCAAGACATTGACAAGATTTCATGTTTTTGCAGTAAACGTCACATAACTTTTTATCTCCATCATCAAATTATTTTAAAATCTTGCTGTTTTATTTCAGTTAGGATTAAAAAACACTTATTTCAATATTTCCCTCTTATGTTCTTTCCTCTTGCAGTGCACCCGTCCCTCCTGCAGCAAAACACAGACGAACCATCATGCTGCCACCGCTGTGCTTCAGCAATTAGTTTCTTCCACATTATCATGCAGCTCATGCATGAAGGTCACCTTCACAGGTATCTGGAAATTATATCCAGGGACTCTTACAGGTCAACAGTTTCTCTTAGCTGATTTCTTTAGATTTTCTATTCATAATGTCACACAAGGAAGCAGCTATTGATTAAAATATGTCCAAAGATTTAAAACTTTCTATTGTCAGTTTCCTCCAAGGCAAGTCTATTTGTCTATTAATTAATTTAATTCTCAAAAGTTATTGTTACTGCTCTCTAATTAATTTTTTATCATGCCTCTTTGCCCCCTGTCATTAATTCAATGACATCATCATCTGGGCTTTGCCCAAATAGTTTAGTAATCTTAACATCTCTTATTTTTAGCAAATTTAGTTAAATATTGTGATTCAAACTCTCTCCTAAAACCGAAAGAATTGGTTTAATTTTAAACCCAACAATGAGGGGAAAACCATTTAAACAGTATATGTACATATGTTCGACATCATTACTTCTTTAGATCTGTTGTTTAAGTCTCAATGTTTTTCATTTTCTACACATTTGACTTTTTATTCTGCCTTTAATTTGACAGGTAAGTCTTTTTGAGACAAATTAAGCTAGTTGTTAAAGCAGGAAATAACCAGTGCAATTCATAAAACAAATTATGAATTGTTTTATGCAACCAAACACTAGAAAAATAAACATTCACTGATGTTTTCTCAATTGCTCTAAAACCAGTTAGTTAAATTAATCTGCACAGATTTGGGTAGAAGAATAATTTTTTTCAAGATGAAGGAAAAATAAAAGTACTGGAAGTCTGTGAGAAAGATTTACTCGTCTTGGAGTGGTAGTAGCCAAGTTATTGATTAGAGAATGAAAATATTCCAGCACAGCAGTCTGCAGACATTTTTCTCAGAAATACTGTTGCATGTCTCACACACTTTGTGCTTTTTCAGCCCGACCAGCAGAACAAACGCTCCAGTCTGCCAACACTCAAAGGGAAGCTGTAATTTTCTGCTTTTGGGGGGTTTCTGCTCTCCATTCTCTGCTTTATGTCACAATAAGTGCTGTAATTTCTCCCTCCTCCTCCTCTGTTTGTGCGTTTCATTGCAGCTGATGGCCTGAAATGCACCTTCACTGGCTGCTCTGGAGATCAACAATGCAGTGATGATTAGTGATGGTGACTTCATAGTTTGTTTTTATTCATCTAAACAGATCACCGCTTTTAGAAATATGCATGCGAGTGTGTTTTCCTGCGGCCCAAACCGAGACCGGCGAACGACAAAAAACAAAACCCAGACAAAAATTTAATATGGATGAAAAGCTGTTATCAATTTGTTCAGAGTTATAACTGCAGCTAAATCATTTTAAGTTTAATTCTTGCTTCAGATGAAATTCAGTGAATTTATTCGAGAAATAAAATGTAGTTGATTTTGATAACCAGTGAAACTTGTAGGTTTACTAAAGACATTCAGTAAACCAACACTACACTGTAAAAACACAAAGTCTTACCAAGTGCCTTTTCTGGTTTTCAGCGCAAATTTCTTAGTTCACTGGAAATAAAACAAAACTAACTTACAAAAGTACAAAAATAACTTTTTGGGAGATTTATATAAAAGAACTTGTTCCAAGTAAGTAATTTTTTTAATACTTTAATGTAAAATAAATGTGGCAAAGTATTTTGTTCAGAGAAAATTGAATTTCCATTGGAAGCTGGAATCATCTATGTATTTAAGATTTTTCAATGAAATTTACCCAACTTTATTAGAATATTCACAAAAATACATTTATTAGTGTTACTGCACCCATTTCAACTCTTCATCTTGTTTATAATTTAAAAATAACTGGGGCTCAAACGATTAATTGTGATTAATCGATTATTGAATCGTCAACTAATTGAGTAATCGATTAGGCCATTTGATGAAAGAATAACAGTCAAAGTGGTTAATTAAGCCAAAATTATACAAAAAATATTTACATTTAGCATCAATGCTAATGAGCATGTTCTACCTAAAACTCCTCAAGTGGCATAGCTTTGGTTTTGTAGAGAAAACTTCCTTTTAAGCAGCTTTTGCTATCCAGTTATTAATCAGTTAGTCCAACAGTTTAGTACAACACTGTATTGGTGTTGAGTCAAGCAGGAAGCATTGAATTTTAGGAGTATCTTTAGCTTCATCCTTTGCTACAAATGATCAATCATTCAGTAAAAGAATGTTATGTCTTTGCATTTTAGTCAATAAAATGTTTATTTTCTTGGTTAAAAAATGAAAATAATCCTATTTCAATGTATTTCTAATATTAGTACAGAATAAGCTTGAAAACAGATGACTAAACTTTTAAAATGAGTTAACTTATTAAATTAAATGAAGTTTATTAAGTTGTCATGATGAATAAGCTGAAAGAAAGTAAGTTTGACAGAGTTGGAGCTCCATTGTGCTTATTCAGTGTTCAATGAAAAATTTGTAGAATGTATCAATTTTATTATTCAATTAATCGATTAATCGTCAGAATAATCGATCAAATAATCGTTAGTTGCAGCCTTCAAAGTAACCTTTTAAAAAGGCTTATTATTTGCTGCGTCTCACCTTGTTGAGTAATTGTTGAGGAAGATGACGCAGACGGCAGCTGTAGAGGAGGAAGACCTACATCACTGTTGAGCAGCGCGCTGCCGTCGTTGTCAGGGACTCCGCTCGGTACCGGTACCAGACTGTAGCCACCCAGTTGCAGAGCTGCAGACGGCGAGCTGAAGGTGAGCACAGAGGAGCCTCCGTTCTGGGCCGCCATTGTGTGGACGCCCTCCAGCTTCACCTCCGACCCGTTCACACAGCCCGAGTAGGAGGAGTACTGCAGGACAGACTCCTCGGTGCCGCCCAGTCCCTTCTCCTGGCCCGTCTGCATGTGCATGTCCCCCGCGGAGCCACCCAGCAGCACCCCGCCGGGCGGCCTCAGGGGGTTGAACGCCAGCGGCTGGATGCCCAGATTGAGCCCGTTGAACAGGATGTTTCCAGGCGAGTGGAGGTAGGATGAGCCGCCATTGTGAAACACGGTGGAGGAAGTATTAGTGGCTGCGAGGCTGCCGTTGTAGACGCCACCGCCGCTGGATCCTGACATCTTGATGTCGCCGATCTGCTGGATGACGACGCCCCCGTCCAGAGGTCCAGCCTGAGCCGGTAGGCTGCCGTGGGTTATCACTCCGTCTGAAGAGTTGGACAGGGGACGAGGGGACAGCTCCTCCTGGCCCTTACTGGACTCATCCTCTGTGCTGTGGTTTCCATCAGACTCACTGGCAGCAGAAAAACAGATGAGTCACAAAACAGAGAAGAAGAAACTACATTTCCTGTAACCGACTGTTTTCTGGGAAGGAAAACAAAATATTATAGCTCTGTATTATGAACACAGTGGGTGGTAACTAGTTACATTTACTTGAGTAACTTTATTATGAAGTACTGCTTCTCTTCCTTGAGTAAAATTTCTGGATTCTCTACCCACTGTGAGTAACTTCCCTGTAGGGCCGAAATGATTAATCAGATTAATTGTGATTAATCGTGATTAATTGATTATTGAAATAGTTGTCAACTAATTTAGTAATCAATTAATTGTTAGCTGGAGTACAAAGACTCAAAAAGGACCATTTTCTGAAAAACAACATTTTCAGAGCAGCAATAAAGCCAAAACTGTACAAAATATTTAAGATTAAAAACACTTTTATTGTGTCTCAATACTCAAAACTTCTCAAGTGGTGTTTTTTTAAATATCCACTTGTTATGCATTGTAGATAATAAAGTGTTTGTTTTCTTATTTAAAATGGAATTGAATTGTTTATTTGCACCTTCCAAAACATTTCTAAGGGTTTATGTGATTAAATGAAAAATCTAGAATGTGCCATTTAAAAAAAATCATATTAACTGAATAATTAATCGATTAAACTCGCAATTAATCAATTAATCATCAGAGTAAGTCATAGGTTAATCGATTCCTAAAAGTAATTATTATTTGAAGCCTTAAATCACTGGATGAAGAACATTTTTTTTATTTTAGCCAGAAATTCATCAAACACAGACAATTGTTTAATCTTTAAATGGAAAGAAAGAGACTTGGAGATTTTCTCCTTATGTCTGTAATTTTGTAATAATGTTATTTATATGAATTATTTTTATTTTGGTCTTTAAAATACCAACATTAAATAAATATTTGAGTAGCCTTTTTACCAAATAATTGTTGCTTTTACTTGAGTAAGACTAGTTGGTACTTAGAGTATTTTTTGTACCTCTGGTTATTAAAGTTGTGCCTGTGCAGCCCTCTTTAGGAGAGCTGCTCTGACAGCAGCAACAACCCTGTGACCATTTGGCGCAATAAATCCTGCAACAACAAATGGCTTGAAAGTCAAACTAAAATCCACATTTTTCAGTTTTCAACAGAAATCCTCCTTAAAACCACAAGGACTGAAACGTTCTTCCTTGTGAATATGGTCTCATTTCATAAAGAGTGATTAAAACAGCTGCTGTCCCCCCCCCATCTTCACTCCTCCTTCTCTCCAAGGCAGCGCGCACACACGCATTACCAACCCCCAACCATGTGGCCCTACAAAGAAATCCACAGGTTCATAACCATTTGGAGATTAATAAAGACGCTTGTTTGTGTTTGTGTGTGTGAGGAAGGAGGCAGAAGGGGTCACCTCTACCAGGTGTGCGTCATCTTTGTTCACAGGGAAAAACATGAAAGACCAGCCCTCACATCTCTGTGTGCGTCTGCCGGATTATGAGATGAAGCAGAGCTGATGGAGATCCTTTTAGTCCAAGAGAAGAAAGTCATCCTGAAAATAATTTATGTACTGATCTTTGCGTGTTCACGCACAGGCTCATCCAGAGTCGCCTTTTGAACTCTTTCTTCAAAGTTACATCCTCCTCCCGCCGGCCCGCCCGCCGCCCGCCTGTCAGCCGGATCTCTGAGGCTTCAAGCTATTTGGTTGCCTCTGGTTTCCATGACTCTCCGCTTCGCTTGAAACCGGATCTGAACGGCAACAGCTTCATATTTCAAAACATTAAAAGCGTGCTGCTAAAGCTTTTTCTGTTCCCTAACTATTTCCAGTTAATAATTCACACGTTCGCTCCTGAACTGTGACTGACGCGACATTCGCAGTTATTAAGTGATTAAATAACGTCATTATTGAGAAGTTTTTGCGCACTAATCCTGGACAGGGATATCGAAATGTGCGCATATCATAAAGTTATGTTGAGTTATTTTACGATGAGAAATTTAAAATTGAATTTATGAAGAGATTGTTCAGATGCGCCTTTTGCGCACAGATCTTTTTGACCGGTAAAAAGTCGGAGATGAAGACAGAAACGTGTGCACCGTGTTGTTCTCTTTGTTTCCTTACCTTTTGGACTGCGCTTCCGATGGGTTTCTGTCCCTCTGCCGCCTGTTTTTGAACCAGTTGCTGACTTGGGTCAAGGAGAGTCCGGTTATCTTGGCCAGATTCCGCTTCTCGGCTGGAGACGGGTACCTGTTCTGGTTGTAGAGGTCCTTCAGCGCGTTCCGCGACCTTTCCTTGAAACAATAAACCGTCTCCTCGCCGTCCCAGATAGTCCTGGGGAGAGGGTATTTCCTCCGGATCCGGTATTTATCCACGGCGCCCAAGGGTCTCCCGCGCGCCTTCTCTGCCTCCGTGTACCGGGCCTTGTACCACAGTTCCTGCAGAAAGGTGTGGTTGGACGGGTTGAAACTATGGTTCTCCAAAATACTGTAGAGCTCCTGATAGCGCGCCTGATGGAAGGCAACGAGGGCTTGGGCTTTCAGGATGCTTTCGTTGCCGCGGAGCAGGTCGCTTTGGGGTAAGGACCACAAGAACCTCGCCAGCCGGTCCACGTTGCCCCCCTGCTGCAGCGCCTCGCATACGCACGCCACTTGCTCCGGGGAGAAAGCCAGGGAGGAAGCGGCGCTCACCAGCAGCTCCGTGCGCACCGCGTCGGCGTTGGGAGCCGTGCGCTCCATGGACAACTCCGCCGCGTCCAGCGCCACCAGCTTGATGCTCTCACGCTTATTCACCTCCTTCACATTTTCCCTCTTGATGTCATTCACTGCCGTGACCTCTCCGGCAGAAGAAGAAGACATTTTTTTTGTTCGAGCCTTCCCTGGCAGAGTCACTCCTCCCCGCTTGATCAGGTTACCTCCTCGCCATGCGAACCCGATCGGATATCTGACAGCAGCTGTAAGCAGATATCTCTCTCCCCTCTTCCTTCCAACGTGACTTTTACTCTGCGGGGACTGGGGCTGGAGGGAGATACGCTGGGGTCTATCTGAAGGAGAGCCACGCCATTGGCCGCTGAGGGCCCCATGAGGGAGGAGCGAGCGCGATTCATGCGCGAATGTTTGGCTTTCAGCTGTCAGTCATGGAGCTTCCAGCAGGGCTTTATTCCCGGTGTTCACCTGTGCAAGGTGAGTGCGTCTGGGATCGTGGGAACGGGAAGTTCTTGTTGCTTCTGTTCTCAGTAGCTGCATTGCATGAAGGTATGCACAAAAGTGTTTTTATTCCCACATCAAGGCAGGAAAATCCAAGGGGAAATAAGGGAGTGCTCTCATTACGTTTCTCCAAAGACAATGCAAACAAAGGCAATGGTCTTGCTCATTGTTATTTTGAATATTCTTCTGCTGCTGGAGTCAACAAAAAACAAATTTTAAATGTGGAAAAAAACTTAATTCCTCTTGCTGACCTAAACAAATAACACCACATTCATTCAGCTTATTAAAAAGAGTTCTTGCTAAAAGAAAAAAAAAAAGACCCATTAATCTGATTTGAACTTTCCTGGTCAGGCTTTATAAAAATACCCCAAATTTTTACAATGCATCTATTCAATTAAATGCACTTTATGCATAAATGGAGCAAACATCAAATATCTACAGGTGCAACATTTTTTATTGGCCTATTTAAAATTGAGAGCAATATTTTGAGATTATTAGTAAATAATAACTTAATAGAATGAGACTGTGGAGTTTTCTTATAATTATAATTAGATATATTTCCTAAATGCTTAGTCTATAACAAGATACTTGGAATAAATGTCACTAAAATAATTTTGATCTGTTAAAATAAAAAGCCTATTTTTACAGTTTAGTTGTCATATGGATATTTCCCTTGCATATTAGAAAAAAGAATCCTTTAAAATAGAAACAAATTGAATTATTTACATTATTTTTGCTCATCTGCAATTTTCACAACCCAACATATTGCACTTATATTGATATAAATATGATTTTGTGAAGGAGTTAATGGATCAAATAGACTAAACTCTGTACAGTTTGACCTCAGAGAGTTTGAAGAAGAGAAAATATGAGTAATTTAATTGTTCTTCATGGCTAATCAGATTTTGTGATTTTCATTTCTTTATTAATAAAATAGTTTGTAGTTTATGGAAAAGAGGATAAATTAAATTTACATTTTTGTTTCCAATCTGCTGAATCTTATATTAATTAGTTTCTGCAATGTTTAACACATTAAATATTTCTGGTTATATTTCTTATTCTGAAATGCTTAGGCTAATCTGATTTATTTTTTTACGTAAAAGCTTAGCAAAAATGATCAATCAGCTTTTTCTACATTTAATGCAACATTTGGTCTGTATGGTTCAAATGGAAAATGGACAAATTTAGTGAAGTAAAAGTAGATGTATGGAAAAAATGCAATACCCTGACTATTCTCTTTTTCAAAGCACTTTTTGATTCACCTTCAACAATCTCAGGAGCTTTTCTACATTTGCAGAAATGTCTCAAAGGATCTTACTGGACAAATGTATCAGTCAGGAGAAGAAAAGTATAAAGAGCACATTGAAAACATCTGCAAATTTGATGGGAGAAAGATCAAACATAAAAAAGTACATCTACATCAAAAGTAGAACACCACATGCATAGTAAAATATGGTGGTGGCAGTATCATAATGTGGGGTGAAGGTGACAGGTTTTCGCTGAGCACCAATTGAATTCTTTACATGTCTGCTTAAAAGATGAAGATAAATTTTATTTTTCAGCATCAAAGAGTCCAAAAACACAAAGAAATGATATCAATGGAAGAAAGTTTTAGTTTTACAATGACCCAGTTAAAGTCCAGAACCAGCTGTTTTACGTCTTTTCATCTGTTCTTGCATTTTATTATTTCATTTTTCTGGATTGCACTTTGGTCCACTGTGATTGTTTTAAAGTGCTGGATAAGAAAAGTTGGATGGGTTTTTGATAAAGAAGATGTTAAACTCACAGCATCAGATTGTAGCTATGCTACCAAAACAATCAAGCAAAAAAGACTGTGTTTGTACCTTTAGTCAGGAAATTTAATTAAAAGTTGCAGTCTTCAATATTTATTTTAAAAATGATTATGTTTTTTTAGCCTATTTGTTAAAACTATCACCATGCGATAACAGTTTGTTGTGAGGCAGATAATCTGTGAATCAGTGGAACTCCTCCACCTCATCCCTATGCTAATTTCTGTGTGAAGAAATGCACCAGTCCCAGTCCAAAACAACCAATTAGAGCCATGAGGACGTTCTTGCTGTCAATCAAGCTCTTGAACATGTTGCTAAATGTTTTCATAGTGGAGGAAGAACTCATCATTACAGGGAAATTGTTTATCCACCATCATCGGTGGTCATGCTAAATAACCTTCGCCTCCATGACAGGTTAATCCTAGTTAGCACTGGTAGAAGGTACAATATTTAGATTTTATTTCACAGGCTCCGTGCTTCGTACTATAGTGTCACGACATAGGAACAATTTCAACAAATATGCTTTAAAAAAAATTATCTTATGAAAATCAGCAACTGCAGCTTTAAATCTGAAATTTTAAACTACAGGTGTAGTTTAACATTTCAGCTTACGTTTGAATCAAGCCAAATATGATGATCTTAATGGTATTATCATTCTCAATAAACCTAGATGAAGATGAGGGATGCTAGGGAAGAGGGTTGAAAACGGAAAAAATTAAGTTGTGGGTTTTATATCTACGCCTCTCCGAGGGGTAGGAACCTTTGTTATTAGAAGCGTTTCCAGTAGGAGCGTTCTCAGAGTGACGCTTCGGTCCGCCTCAGTGGACGCTCGCGGATGTTGACATTTTTACGAAGCCTGTTTCTGGCAGAAATAATAAAAGTACCAATAAAAGATGGACGACCAGGGCTGCCCGAGATGTAAGACCACCAAGTATAGAAACCCGTCGCTGAAACTGATGGTGAACGTCTGCGGCCACACGCTGTAAGTCCTCAACGGCCCCGGAAAGCAGCAGCAGGGGGAAATTTCTGTAAAACAGGGCAGAGTTTACAGAAATAACCCTCAGGGAAGCCGAGAGGTCCCCTTGAATGACAGTAGATCTTTTTATTTTATCATGTTTTACCGTTAAATCTGAGTGTGAACGGTTTAGGTTGGAGTTTTCGCTCATTTCATTTCAAGGCAGGACGACAAAAATGTTCCTTTTTTCGCTATGGAGGATTATTGTGGTCAAAGTTTGAGGCAATATAGAACCCCAAACATGCAAAAATGTACTGAAGTAAGAGTCGCACTACTTCTTCATATTTCTACTTGAGTAAATGTAAATAGTACCCATCCAAAAAATTACTCAAGAGTAAATTTGGTAAAAAGTCTACTCAAGTACTGATCAAATTATCAATAATTTAATATTTAAAAATTACATCATCAGACGTTAAGTGGAAATGATGGTATTTTAAGAATCAGAATGACAATAAAATAAGAAAAACAGGTAAAATAAATATTTTTCAAATCAGTTTCTTTCAAGAAAACAAAACTTTTAAAACTTTAACAAAAACTGCAAGTCTGTGTTTCTGGTGGATTTTTGATTAAAACATGTTTGTTCTTCATTCAGTGAAGTAGAGAATCGTAAAATTTTACTGAAGTAATAGTAGTGATACTTCATAATAAAATTACTGAAGCAAAAGAAAAAAGTTAGGTGTAGTAAAAATACTCTAAAAAGTAATTATTTTCAAAAACGTTACTCAAGTTAATGTACCCAGCTCTGGTTTGAGGACATGTTTTCGTGTTCATTCAGATGATTTTGAAGTCGAATAATTGTAAATGTGTGCAGCATTAACTTTCTGTGTGTATTCAATAATAATACATACTGATACATTGAGATACAATATACAATATGTTCTAATATTAAATCTTGTTAGCAGGCCTGAAACACAGTTATTGATCTGTTTCTGTTTTATATTCAATCAGTGGATGAAATATGAAACAACCCAATCAAAAGGCATAATCAGAAAATATGTTGATGCAAAAAAAATAATATATGAGAGCTATTTACAGATTATATGAAGATGATATACAGATCATGTATGTGTGTGAGGGAAACAGTCCGGGAATGCGGGGGTACAGTCCTTATAGTTTGTGTCAGGAGGCGTTCAGGAGCGTGACAGCTGTGGGGAATAAGCTGTTCCGGTGCCTGGTGGTTCTGGTCCGTAGGCTTCTGTACGCCTCCCAGAGGGCAGGAGAGAGAAGAGTGTGTGTGCAGGGTGAGTGGTCATTTTCCCGGCCCTTTTCAGACACCGCTTCCTGTAGATGTCATTGATGGCAGGGAGCGGTGCCCTGGCGATGTGCTGGGCAGTTTTCACCACCTTCTGCAGCACCTTCCGGTCAGAGACGGAGCAGTTCCCGTACCAAACTGTGATGCAGTTGGTGAGGATGCTCTCAATGGTGCAGCGGTAAAAGTTGGTGAGGATCTCTGAGGACAGCTGGTTCTTCCTCAAGGTCCTCATGAAGAAGAGGCGCTGATGCGCCTTCTTGACGAGTTTGGAGCAGTTGGTCGTCAGGTCAGGTCCTCGGAGATGTGGACTCCCAGGAACTTAAAGATGTTCACACGCTCCACCGCTATTCCCTTGATGTGGATGTGTGGGTGCAGGTCAGCGTTCCTCCTGAAGTTCACGATGAGCTCCTTGGTCTTCTCGGTGTTCAGCTGCAGATAGTTCTTGTCGCACCACTCAGCCAGACGGTCCACCTCCTCCCTCATCGTTGTCTCTGATGAGGCCGATCACTGTGATGTCATCTGCAAACTTGATGATGGGATAAGACCAGCTGTTCCAAGCACTTGGTGATGATGGGAGTGAGGGCTACTGGACGAATATTATTTGTGATTACGATGATTGCGAATATTATTTGCGATTGCTATCAATATAGTATCAATATAGTATTGCTATCAATACTATACATGTTGACATGTTGTGCTGCTCAGACCTGAGTAATTGTATCAACTATGTTGTTTCCTAAGTTATTGCAAAGATGTGGTGCAAAGAAAAGAGAAAAAAGTTTCAAAACAACCTGAAAAAATGTCATAAGAGGAAATAATGAGGATGAATAAATAAAAAATGGTGCTTGTGCAATGCAAAAGTATCAGTTACTGCTGCTCATTCCCTCAGCATGATGCTGCCACCGGCTTGCATGACAGTTTGTACATTTGAAAGCCTCATTTTGACTTCTCTAATTCAAAATCCTTTAAGTTGTTGCCAAGCAGCTCAATCTTTTCTCCAGAAGACATTTGGACTGAAAAAACAAAATCATACTAAGAATTTTTGGTCTAATTTTTTGGGCAAATATCTTAAAACACTTGAAATAAAATAAAACTAATTTGCAAACAAGATGTAAGAGCTTGTATTAAGTAAATAATTCTTAATATTGATGAAAAAGTCCTAGATTATTTCACTTATAATGTGGGAAAATGTGTTATAAGTAAAAGAAACTGGAACTTGCAGTTTTTCATCAATATTAGGGATTTATTGACTTTAAACCAGCTCCTATAACTTGCTGAAAACTTGTTTGTAAGTTGCTTTTGTCTTGTTTCATGTGTAACATATTTGCAGTAGAAACTAGACCAAAAATACTTGGAAAGATTTTGTGTTTTTGCAGATTTCACTCCCACAGTTTCCTGTTTATGGTGGGCTTGAACATCTTCATGGAGTTCCTTACATTTTGGGGCAACGGTTTTTACCTCAACACCATGAACTGCCCCCAGCTGTGTTTTCTTTTCATGTATGTGAGATTTATGTAGTTTATTGTTATTAGCTGTAGTTTACAGAAGGGCAGACATAGAAGCAGCTCTCTGAGTGGATGTCGTGCCGCGGTGGGCTGATCGGCGTGACTTTTCCGACCCCACCTTCTGCTTATTGAGCGTAGTACCATTTGGAAGTGGTCGTGCTTCGTCATCAGGTCAGGGAGGGCTCATAACTCCTCCCGCCTCAGTCTGGATGGAGAGCTACATGCAGAAAATTAAACGATTCTGCAAATGAAGCAATTTTAAGCAGCGCCCCGGATCAGGTCACCTTGGCTTTGCTCCTGCTGAGCGCAGGCTATTTACTTGTTTTTTTATTTTTATTTCTGTCATCTCTAATATCATTCGGTGGACGTTTTGAAACTTGTTTTGTAAGGTTGTATCAATTGATTTGACCTAAATTAAATTTTTTAATGTCTCTTTCATATGATATTGAAATTTTGCATTTAACAAACTGAGTTAAATTGAATTTTTGAGAAATATTCAATTTAAATACTTGTGTTTTGCTTTTAAACTGTTTGATTGAGCTAAACAAACCCTGGAGGTTTTAGTTTCTCCTCCATAAATCAAAATTTAACCTCGTTTTGGACACAGATTAAGATTAAAATCTGTTACTTACTATGAATGACATCAAACTCTTGTTTGGCATTTGACAAGGTGCAGATTAGGATTGAAATAATTAGACAGATTAAATGTGATTAACTAATAATTGAAATAATCGTCAACTAATTTAGTAATCGATTAGTTGCTAACTGAACGATACAGACTTAAAAAAGAACATTTACCGAAAGAGCTAAATATTCAGAGCTGTCATTGAGCCAAAATTGTACGAAAATATAGAAATTTTGCATTTAAGATTAATAAACTTCCTGTGAGCCTGTTGCAGTAAACAATTAATCAATTAATTGCACAATGAGTTAAAATAAGCTCCATAATTTGTACTCTGATGATTAATACTTTTTGATGGGTAATTTTGTTTACAAAGACATCATAATCTTATTTTTAGTGTTTTTGTTGTATATTTCTTATTTCAGTTTTATTTACTGCTGTTTTTTAAGTTTGGATATTTAAAATATCTTCCAGCTCCAGTTTTAGTTTTCACAAAATTAAATTTTGCTGTTTTTTGAGAGAACAAACTTGCATTATTATGCCATTATTAATATGTTACTTGAAAATAGTCTCAAAAACAATCATTGCTAGTTTTAAATGCTATAATGTAGCTGCAGCATTTAATATGGTTGATTATTTTATTTAATTCAGCTCAAATTTCAAATTCTAGAAAAACTTTGTAGACAGTAAAATGTAAAATTTTGTGCTTAAAAATTTACACACAAAGTTTTTGGCAATATTTCAGAGAATGATAGAGAGAAAAAAGGAACGTTTTAAAATTTATTATCAAACTATTGTGCTATGAAGCTGACCTAATGACCCTGATCCAAAGCTATGGCCTTGTTCTTACTGTAATTTGTCAACTCACACGCAGCGTCAGTTCTTTACACATTCTTCTTGGTGAAACATTTCATACAGTTATGGTTTTCTTCTTGAAGAAACTTTTCTGGGTAAAATTTTTGTTGGTCTTCCCAAATTGCCTCATTTCCCACATATTAATTTCAATTTGAACGTTGGTGACTAGTTTTCCTGAGTCCTTGAATATCTTTTTTCTGGTTAATGACATTCAGCTGAACTCTTTCAAATCCCTTTGTGATTAATTTGATTCCCCCATGGCTATAAACTCAAGTGTCAATGCAGCGCTGCATTAGTGAGGATGGTCACCCATTTAATCAGTCTAAGCCTTCCAGATTAGGTAATTAGGGTTATTTGTGAGAGCCAACACAATTCTTTGACAGTGTATGGCTTTATCTAGTTATGAGCATAGCTGTGCAGTATGGAGTTCCACAAGGCTCAGTCTTAGGTCCCATATTTTATGGTACTGTGGGCTGGCATCATCAGAAAACATCACATTCACTCGTAGAGCTGTGTTTGTGACAAAGACATCAATGTTGTTGATTACCTGAGATTCATTTGTTCTTTTTATTTTACTATATTTTAGAAGATTAGTTGCTTGAGAATATTCTTTATTTAGGACAATTTCAGACAGTGATAGAAGAAGTTCAGAATATTATGTTATCAGTTTCGTCTTGAGTTTCTCTCTCGGTCCAATGCAGAGATACTAATACAAGCTTTTATAACATGCAGAATTGATTACTGTAATGCACTGCTTTCTGGGCCTCCCAAGAAGAGCTTAACTTCACTGCGGATGCTACAACATTCAGCTGAATGAAGGCTGGGGTCAGAAATCACATCACACTGATTCTGTGCTTTGACTTTATTAGCTTTGGAATATGGTAGAACTCTAGTTCTAGAAAGTCCGGTTCGTTTGGGGAGGTGTGAATGCATAACTGAACTCTGATATGAATCTAAAAAATAAACTCTGGGCTGCCTGAAAATCTTGGTTTGGTTGAAATGAACTCTGGTGCTGTCTGAACGCGTATGTGAACGCCAATGGAAGCGGACCAAAGCTTCTGTTGACTGATGTGTAAATACAACCTAAAGCAAACTTGCTGCTAGCTGCAGAAATGGCTCATGGTCTTTTACCAAAGACGAAAGGGAGATCCTTTTAAAATCTGTTCCTTCTCCAATTTTTGTTTACATTTTATGAAAAAAAGAGGAGGTTTCCTACAGTGGTTCTTGGTGCAGCGCCCCCACAGGAGAGGAGGTGAATAGGTTTGTCAAAGAGTTTGACACAGTACAATGTGAAAAAGAACTGCAGCTGCTGAAAATGTGACAAATGCTGACATCTTGGTCCCGAATGAAACACGACTACCAGTTTATCAGGTGTGAAAACCTCCTACTGGGCTCGACACACCAGCAGTGACGAACAACGGCATAAAGCCGTGAACTCAACAAGATAGCAACAGCAGCGAAGCGACAAAGGTTTAACATTTTTCAAATTCCTTGTATCGCATCTCTAGCCTGCATGCACACTTCTACGTGTACAAGATCAAACTTTCACACAGAAATTTCAACAGTCGCTTGGTAGGAGGAGGGCAATGATTGTTGCCTCATCGCTGAAGTTTTACAGGAAATGAAAAGAGAGGGAGCGACGTCATCTCCTGTCTGTGGAGGACCTTAAACTTGAAAAGCGATTTAGATAACGCTTTATTTGAAGGTGTCCATAAGTCTAACATGACCCTGTTGTAAACGTGAAGGAGTCTTTGTGAATGTTACGACTGTTGTCATTAAGTGTCATTCGGTAAATAACACAAAGTTGACACGTTCAGTGGACTTTTAATTCAACATTTAGTGCAATTTTGAATTAAGTGTCTTTATTTACCGAATGACACTTGATGACAACAGTCAAAAACATTCATAAGGACTCCTTCATGTTCATGACAGCTGTTATGTCATGTTAGTCTTATGCATACCCCTTCAAATAAAGGGTTAATGCGATCCATAAGAGATGCAAAAAAGACCATTTGTAGATTCTGGTAACTTTGGACCTACTGAAGTCTACATGGAGTCCATCTTTAGTTTGGGAAGGTCAACAGCTCCATCAGAGCAACTCACAGGTCCGTTTTGCTTTGCCTCTTTTTTGCAGGTTGGTAGAGTTAGGATGTAGTGGTGTTAGTCTCTTTGCTGAGCCAGTATCGCCTTGTTTACCTTCCTATTACCCCCCCACCCCCTCTGTGACCTGCTGACAGCTGCAGATGAAGAGATAGCAGCCTGGAGCTCTGAGCAGGACAGGTGAGAGAGGGAGGTGTCCAAAGCACTCCGTCAGCAACAACAGCCCGTGGACAGAGATGACAAGCTGTTGCTTCTGAAACGTCTTTCTGTCTGAGTGGGGTTATGTCTCTGAACATGAAAGCTGGCGCAGAGCAGAAGATGGAAAAGTCTCCTCCCTTTATTTTAAGGGGTCACCTCTCAGCTCTAGAGTTACACAGGATTTGCCCCTTAGAGGGTTCTGTTGTGTGGTCCATTTATGGGGCAGGGGGCAAGCTACGCCCCGCTCCTTGCCCCGTGTTGATGAATGGGCTCTTTGTGGGCCTGTGGAAACAAGCAGAATCCCTCCATCCACCTCCATATGGCAAGGCCTATAGATCTGCTCTAGCCTGAGGCCGCAGTGAACATCTGCCTCTTCCAACTCCGCTCCCAACTCCGAGACACCAACTGGACACCGCACATGCTTCTGGCTCTCGGTTTGCTTTCATTTTCAACATCTCAGCTTGGCTACGGCCAAGCCAAACTGACACATGAGAGCATTAGCGCTTTAAGTTGCGGCAGTTTGGGCTTGTTTGACCCCTATTGGAAGCGTTAGGTGTAAACAGAGAAATTCCACGTGTCTGCACTTTCCTCTCTAGCTGTGTTTTCTGTTTTGCGTCTTGCTGAAGAGGTGAAAGGTCTTGCATGACTGTCCCGAATGTTTGTGTCTTTCTTCTACTTTTTACTTGGCTCGATTTGGTGGCAATGAAGTGACTCAGGCATACCGTCAGTGAGGTGTAAAGAGAAATTTTGTCTTTCCTCTCGTAATTCTGAATAATGCTGGTGCTTGGAAACCAGATGTCCATTTTTGTGAGGGTGGTCATGAGCTGGAAGTTGGATTTCTGTGGCAATAAAGCTCCACAGAGACTTGATTAAAAACGCGACTGTGTAAACGTTTATCCAGCCTCTTCAGCCCATCAGGGAGACACAAAGGGACATTCCCATTGTCTGCAGTGTCCACTGTCCACTGGAGTGTGACTGATGGGTAAATTCCTACCTGTATAAAGGTGTGATTGATGGTTGAACTTACCGCTGTGTCCTCAGGTGAGCCTGATGATCAGATGGTGCAGAAAACTGTCCAAATTAAACTGAATCACTGATTAAGAGTTGAGCATTATGTGAGAAGGTGAAGTCCAGCTGAAAAACTCATCATGACTCAGCTCTTTTGTCCCATATGTGGTCTTGAAAATCTATAAAGCACATTTTTCCACACTTAAAATGCCTCGGTGCATAAAATAAATTTTTAATATCAGGCAAAAATAACGTGAGAAAATCAAAGGAGCAGTTTTCAAATCATGTAATTTATTAAAAAAATACAATTATCCAAAAAGCATGCCAGTGTCGTAATCACCTCTAAACCTAAAACCTGATTATGTTCAGAGTTTTCATGCATAAAGAATCAGTTTTATGTCATACTTCTAAATATTAATCATATTTAGGTTTAAACTTTAACTAGGCCACTTCAAAACCTTCATGCTTGATACTTGAGGGTATTTTCACACCTGACAGCCCCATAGATTTGAGTCGATTGGGGACTAAAATTGTGACATTTGTTACATTTCCAGCTGCTTACTGTCAAACTGATCCAAAACCTTTGAAAAACCTGTTCTCCTCCTCTCCTATGGGGTTGTTTCATCAAGAACCACTGAAGGAAGTGACACAAACACCTACAAAGAAGACATGTGCAAGATGTAAACAAAAATGAAGTGCTGTGAGATTTTAGTGGTTATAGGAGAGGTAAAAGATCAAGAGCCATTTCTCCCACTAGCTCTAGACTCATGCATTTGCTTTGGTTCCATTTATCCAGAATTCCCTGCACTATAGTCCACTTCCTGCTTTTGGAGCATTTGCTGGTCCATTTGGTGTTCACATACGGATTCAATCAGCACTAGAGTTCACTTCAACCAAATTTAGATTTTGGTTTTTAGGTGGACCAGTTTTGTTTTTACTGATTTGCTGGATTATTGTCCTCCTGCGTTACCCAGTTGCTTTTGAACTTGAATTAATGTTTGCATCAATTATAGTTAATTGTCCAGGTACTGAAGCAGCAAAGCATCCCCAGATCATCACACTACCACCACCATGTTTGACTGTTATACTTCTGAAGTGCTGGTTATTTTATACCAGTCCACAGAACACTAAAGAGATATTTTCTTGGTATGCATTAGGCAGATTTTTAGCATAATTTTGATTTGGAGGCCATTGTTGTTTGGTCTGTTTATCATTGTTGAACCCTAAACTCTGACCTTTAGGAAACCCGGTGAAACTTGGAGCTTTAGATATTATGGGGTATTTCTGTGACTGCCTGGATGAGTTTATGATGCTCTTGGAGTCATTTTGGTAGGACGACCATCCCTGGAAAGAGTTACCACCCCATTTCTCTCTGATGTTTGCTGGAGTCCCAAAGCCTTATAAATATCTTTGTAAGTATTTCCAGGCTGAAGAACTGGAGGAAAGTGTGTTTCTCATCTGTTCTTAAGATTCTTTAGAGCAGTTTTTAAAAATCTGTTAACACACTCCATGTTGTCAGACGGATACTAGATTGCAACTTTTTGAAAAATCTGAATAAAAACATTTAATTTGTGATTTAACAAAGGGGATAATTACTTTTCCACTTAAGACAGGTTGGTTTGAAAAGTTAAATTTCTCTTAATAAATTTTATACTCAGTTTCAACATTGAAGGTCTCAAACTTTATGGATAATAATCATAAAAATAAATAAATGGCAGATGTATATTATCACTTTCCTAAAGTAGAAAATATAAAAAAGAAATCACTACCTCTCTCTTCCCAATAGATGTTTTGCAATTGTCTTAGAAATTTGACAATATGATAGAATATTATTAAAATCACAAATATTTCATCTTGTAATAATTCCTATAATTAGGTGATGAAGAAAAACTCAAACATTTGAAGTATTTGGAAGTAACTGAACATAAAATCTGTTCTGGGATGAGTTCTGCACAAATCACTGAGCTGGATTTTTCTCATGTTATGCAACCTGGCAGAATGGTTGAGGTCTGCTGAAACAACAATAAAGCAAGCGTTTTTCCAGCGCAGACAGACACTCCGCTGATGGGGTGTTGGGACTAATTTCCTCTTGTCTGAGAGTGCTAGGCCGCCTAATCGACATTCCAACCGTAATCCCCGCCATCTTTGAGCACTTAGGAGAAATATTCTGATCCCCCATTATCGCCCACTGCTGCGTTTTTGCCTCATTTCATGGAGAAATGAGTAGAAAACTGTATTTACACATGAAGCTGTGTTGCCAATGCTCTGCTTGTGGCCTTAGATGCGAGAACTGCGTGGAGATGCTGTTTGTGCGCGGCTCGGGGAACTGCGTGCAATGCGACACGCCTCTGAGGAAGAGCAACTTTCGCGTGCAGCTCTTCGAAGACGCAACTGTGGACAAGGAGGTCGAGATCCGCAAGAAGGTGATGAAAATGTGAGTGAGTTTGGGTAGAGGGGTGGGCATTAGGGGTGTGGTTCTCTGTGTTTATATGTTACTCCAGGCCTCCTCCCACTTCTTAAGCTGCCTTTGTCTTCCTCATTACACTGTTTGTTTTGTAGACAATGAGTCTCCTCCCTGGGGGTGGGGGCGGAGGCTCTTTCTCTGCCAGATTTTTACTCCGCAGCCCCTCCCTGTCCTCTTTCACTCCATCTTATCAGTGTTTTAATAGCCCCTTAATTGAGATCTAATGTATGTGTGTATTGGGCAGAAGGCAGAGATGGTTTATAAAATGGTTGATTTAATGGATGCTGTTACTGTCGGTGATTGCTCCTCTTGTTTCTCTGCAGCTACAACAAAAGAGAGTTCGACTTCCCCAGCCTGAGAGACTATAACGACTATCTGGAGCAGGTGGAGGACATAGGTAGGAACAGGAAGTCCAGTGTTTGGTTCCCTCTGAGGACTTTCAGCCTGGATGGACAGAATGTCACCATTAATCTCCAATTAGTACTTTTACAACAAACAAAAAAAAGCATCCTGAATATTTTCTATAGGGGGTACCACAAGGCTCTATTTTTGGCCCACTACTTTCCTCTGTGAAGCTTTTCATTATTTTAGGTGATGTTCAGTCACGGATGACTTTAAATTTCTTGAATCTTGATTTGTGAAATGAAAGCTCCTGATTGTTTCTGTAGTGGTAAATGTGTTGATTTTGGTTCTCTCATCTGAAAAATATTATTAACAGATACACCACATTACATTTTCACAGTTAAAAACCATTTTTTTTAACTTTTAAATGCAGTTTACAACCTTACAAACAACATTGATGTGGAGAACACCAAGGGCAGGATGGAGCAGTACCAGAGGGAAAACAAAGACATCATCCAGAGAAATAAGGCAAAGCTTGTAAGCGCTGTCTCCCCTCTCTTAAGCAAACACTTGCATGACCTCAGTTGTGTGGTCGGTGATGTTGCAGATTGTTTTGAGGATAATGTTTCGTTCTCCTCCCTCAGACGCGGGAGCAGGAAGAGCTGGAGGAGCTGCTGCTTCTGGAGCAGCAGAGCAACGAGCAGCGGAGGCTGGAAGTGTTGCAGGAGGAGCAGAGGCAGCTGCAGGCCAAGAGGAAGAGCAAACAGGCTCTGCTGGATGATCTGGTGAGAAACACACATACTGCATGTCTATTTACCAAAAGTGACAAGAAAAGAAAGGCTGATGCACATGCTTTCACACCAGCACTGTTTAGTCCGCTTTAACTGAACTCTGGTTCGTTTGGGGATTTATGAATATATAATCTGATCCAGACTGAAATAGTGAACTCTTGTCTGCCTAGAAACTGAGAGCTCGGTTCAGTTGAAGTGAACTTTGGCATGGTTTGAATGCCAACAGCACAAGGCATTCTGGGTAAATACAACCAAAACAAATAAGAGAGTCAGAAGGTTCCCATATGCTTCATTGATGCGCAGTCACGTGGTTTTGGTAATTTTATTCAAATTTCGCACACTTTTTTGTAAAAGTCATGTTGTAAAGAATTGTACAAATGTACATACTTTTTCATCACATCAGAAAAACTTTCCTCAAAAGTATCCAAGCACAAAAACCAGATAATGGTAGTTGACTAGTTGAAAACAAAAGACAAATGTTACAACTTTTCGAACCGAGTCTATTGGACCATCAGGTGTGACAACACCCACAGACACACAGCGTCACCCTGTGACACCATTAAGAGCTTATTACAAGTCATTGCGCTGCAGCTTGCATTGTTCTCATTCTGCGATCCCAAAGCTCTTCGGCTCCATTGTTTTGAGTTGAGGGCTTTGGAAGTTATTGTTCCTGCAGCGCTGCCAGCAGAAGGACTACCACAGATAACAGGTTAAGCTGTGTGCTTGCTTGTTTAAGGCACAGGGTCTGTTGACCGTAGGCAGATGAGATCAGCTCAAACCCCCTCTGAGGGAAACTCTTCTAAACTCTGACTTCTCCGCCTCTTTGTGGCCGTTTATCTCCTATATCTGCTTTATTCTTATCAGCTAATTTACATATTTCTGAAATTTCTGGTCACTTTAAAGACTATTTTTATAGTATTCCTTGGATTTGATTAAACTTTTCAGCAATATTTAAATTCAACAAATGCAGTTGAAATAGTTGATGCTGAAATTTTTGCATGGACCGGTCCGGTTACCGGTACCAGCGTGCCCAAAAGTTTCCAAATAAATACAAATACAAAAGCCTTAAAAATAATTGATCACACAATTTCAGCAGTTCAAATTAATTTTAAAGAGCAGCCAATGAAAGAGCCAGAGTGTTGCTGCACTCTGCCTGTCAGCTTGCTGCAATAAGGCTAATAGACTGTTCCCTCTTCCTTTATCGCCGATTAATTAACTAGCTAATATCAGTAAGGCTGAAACAATTTATTGAATAATTGGTTATTGGTCATTTAGTAATCAATGGTTCATTAACTGGTAATTAACCATTAGTAATTAAACCAAAACTGTACAAAAAATATGTAAATTTTGCGTTTAAGATTAAAAAAGACTTTCTCTGTAAATATCTTCTACCCAGAACTGCTCTAGTGGTTTGGTTTAAGATTCACCCGGATCGGATTCTGTAAAAAATAATAAAAAAAATCTCACTAAGCAGCTTTTGCTACCTAATTATGAACCAGTTATTCTAAAAATAACCAAAAGTTCAGCCCCACACTGTATCAATGTTTCACATGTTGATGTTAGAAGTTCTAGTTTCATTGGCAGTTTAATTGTAACAGGAAAAATGGCTTGTTCTAAGTGAAATAATCTACTTTTAAAGTACTTTTTAAAGTTATTTTAAGGCATTATAGATGCAGCTCCTGTATGTGGCTGAAACGTTACGTATCAGTTAGTTTTTGTCTTATTTCAAGTGAACTAAGATATTTGCACTAGAAACCAAAAATACCTGTCTGCTGCACGATCTCTGCTTTAGTCGTTGCTGTACGTAGACATATGTCCTCTGACCTTGGATTTAATTGGAGGTTTTGTTCTCCTGCTCGGTTTTTAATATCTGCGCCTTCAGCCCAGCGACAGCCCGGCTGAAAGCACCACTTGCTGATTGTTATCTCGCTGCAGCGATGAATGATGGGAAGGGGCTGCTGCCGGTGTCGGCCTCATAATGAAACACTTTAATGACAGCCTCTGAAACCTCTTGTGTCCCTCCAGGAACAGTCCAAGCTTCCTGCCACCATCTTGCTAGCTCAACACAAGGTTCGCGCCGCCCAGCTGGAGACGCAGATAGAGCAGCAGAAACAGAATGTGAAGCCGACCAGCTTGTTCTCCACTGGGATCCAGATCGTAAGTGAAACACTTTGGATCTTTTTGGTATTAAATGAGCCTGGAAAAGGCTGGGAAACTATATTTTTTCTCTTTTGTCTAAATGTTGTCATTCCTTCCTTCCTTCTTTCCTTCCTTGTTTTCTTCCATCATTCCTTCGTCTCTTCCTTCCTTCCTTTCATCGCATCTCTTTCTTTCTTTCCTTCTTTTTTTGGCTGAAAAACGTATCACAAAATCACAAAATACCTGGTTTGGTTTCATAAATTAAAAATATTGCCAAACTGATGACGTCACCATTTCTATTTCATCCACAGTTTCTATCGTTTGATCATTTTTAAGCAGCTATGAGGCGCAGTGGCTAAACTTTAAAGAGCTGCTGCGTCAGTTACTCAACAAGTCGTTGCTAGGTAACCATAGTGAGTTGGTTGCTAGGTGACCATAGTGAGTTGGTTGCTAGGTAACCATAGTGAGTTGGTTGATTCCACCGACTTTGCTTCGCTGACCTTGAGAGGTTGCGCTACTAAAGGCTTTCCTGCTGTGTGATAATCAGTGAGTCTTCTATACGTTGAATGTTATCGATTGATATTGATCCTGTATCTGTATATTGCTGCAAATTTTTCTTAGCAAAAGAAAAAAATTTACCTATTGTTTTTGGTCTAAGTTTTTGTACAAATAGTTTATTCCACTTCAAATTAGACAAAACTAAGTCACAAGCAACTTTTCAGGAAACTATAAGAACTTGTTTAAGACAATAACTTCAATTGGCAGATTATCTTCCAAAGGATCTAGTATTTTTCATCAACGTTGAGGAGTTATTGACTTAAAACAAGCTTCTGTATCTTGATGAAAAGTTAGTTTTAAATTAGTTTTGCCATATTTGAAGTGCAGTAAAACATTTTCACCAGCTCTAGACCAAAATAGTTGGTAGGATTTTGTGTTTTTGCAGTGTAGGGCCTGAAACGGAGGACTTTAGTCGTTGCCTGCTGCTTCCCCTCAGTGTGGGAACGGGCACAGGGCCTCTTCGCTCGGATCATCACATTCCTGCTGTAGCAGCGGTGGGTCCCACGAGGACCGGGCATGTGGGCTCCGGGCTTTAGCTGCGCCGCAGTTTGTGCACTTGGTGCCTGGAGAGACCTTCATACTTGGCTGTCGTTCACGTTTTCGGTCATTTATTTTCATTTTAACGGGCTGAGATAGGCTGTGTCATCATCCTCACTCCCTCCACTGCAGCCCTCATGAGACACGGTTGTCTTCTCACAGTTTAGTGATGCATGGCAAAGATATCTGCTTCATACTCACCTCAGCCTCCAAAATGCTTCCTGACATGCTCTATTATACGTAAACTTTCACTTTTCTCTAAAGACAACTGCTTCATGCTCAGTTTCTTGTGTATGTTTCAGTGTGGTTCTCTGAATGTCACAATTTTTAATCTAAAGTAGGAATTTAAACTCAGAGACTGAGTGAGAGAATCGGGCCACGATTGTGTTGCTTTTGGCTGCTTTCCTGGCTTCTTGCTTTAATTTCTCTTCATCTTGTCGTTTGAGCTGCTGTTAGTGGAACAGAGCTCTCACCACGCATCGGTCGAACCGAGAGACGTGAGTCAGGGGAAAGTGTTGGTTTGGATTTCCCTTCACCTCAGAGTCCAGAGGAATGACTTTTGTTTGACTTGGTAGGCTTTCAGCAAAGAGTTGTGGGTTTGTGCAGATTGCTGGAATGCATGTATCTGTGAGGTTTCGGAAAGAAATTTGGGAGAAGCAAATCTGAAATATGTGGATATTTCATCGCTTAAAGAGATTTGTGCAAAGTCTCTGCAGTATTCTGCAATTTAATTTGATTCATTTCATATTCACTCAATAAATATGAAGAGTTCATGTGGCAACTGGAAGAAATTATGAATGAAAGGGAAAAATCTACTTTTACTATCTTCCTCTTACAGAAATGAAGAACTTGGTTATTAACTTAGAAGACTATTAGTGACAAATTTAAAATACACAAAAACACCCAAAAAAGCTTCAATTACATTTATTTTAAATATAACTTCTTTTAAGTCAATAATTCCTTAATAATGATGAAAAAGTATTGTTTATAATTAAAATAACCTGTGAGTGGAACATGACATTTCCCCATATTTTAAGTTGAAAAATCTTATGTCACTGGCTGATTATTTCACTTATAAAAACCATTTAATTTTTCATTAATATTTCGGAATCATTGGGTTGAAAAAGCTCCTGCGTCTTGCAGAAAAGTTACTTCTAAGTTAGTTTAGTCTTATTTCATACTAAGATATTTTAACTACAAACTAGAAAAAAAATACTTGGTAAGATTTTGTGTTTTTGCAGTATGGAAGCCCTGATTAGACACTACAGGTTTAACACAAGCATATCCACGTGTCAAAATGACCTAGTCAAAGTACTGACATAATTCCAATTGAGAATATGTGGCTATACTTGGGAATACACTGCAGAAACACATCTTTACAAGTATTTCTGGTCTATTTTCATGTGCAAATATCTTAGTACATCTGAAATAAGACGAAACTAAATTACAAATAACTTTTCAGTAAAATTTAGGACCAATTATGTTTTTGTAAATAATGTCCTAATATTGTTTTAAAAAAGTACTGGTTCCATTAGCAGATTATTTCACTTACATTTTTCATTTTTTCAAATGAAATAGTCTGCCAATGAAACTATTACTTTTAATCAATATTAAGGGATTATTTACTTACAACAACCTATTATCTTGCTTGAAAGTTAGTTTTGTCTTATTTCAACTAAACCAAGATATTTGCTCTAGAAACCAAACTTAGTAAGACTTTGTGTTTTTGCAGTGTCGATGTTCACAGTCACTTTTCATCCAATCTACCTGAACTTGGGCCATTCAAGGGACCCTATCCTACCCTAAAGATGCAGGTTTTTCCCCAGCATCACAGTCATCTAGAACAGGACCTTCTGTTGAATCCAGTCCTAATTTGTGCTCACCACTGGTTTCCTTACTGGTGAGGGGGACTCCTGGCTAAACACTGAGTGCTAACGTCACAGTTGAATGGTCTGAAGAGGAAGTTGGCCAACCCAGGGGGGAAAGTCGTATTAGTCCAGGTGTGATGAGCGGTGGGATGGGCCTGGTCTTGCCTCAGGAATGGCCTGGAAACCTTCTCTAATCCCTCACTTTGTAGATTGCTCTATTGAACCAGGAGACACACAAACGTCCATATGCGGGTGCATGCAGATAAATACACTCCGTGCCCCTCCCCTGAAGTCTGAGCATACAGCGTTTGAAGAATAAAGTGTCTTTCTAAAATAGAAGTCCTCTGAAATCAAAAGACTCGCTCTGCGTGGGAGGATTTGCTGTTTAAACAGGCTCGTTGTTGTCTAACACGGCATCGAGCACGGTGCCAAGCCTCTTCATGCCACGGAAGAGCTCACTTAGCACCTGCGTTGAGACAGGCACTGATTTTAAAGGGGGCTTATGATGCAAATTTCACATTTTGCATGTTTTTAGTCTTCCATTTGGGTCTCAACTGCTTCTGAAGACAGCCAAAGTTGTTAAAAAAAACACCAAGATGCTTTTTAAGAATAGGTTGGTGTTTTTTGGTGTTAGGAAAATTAGTCGTTTCGAGAACCTTCCAATCGTTAAGTCACAATCCTGGGCACCGCACTGTTACCTTGCAACCTAGGCAGCTGTTTCTACCACTGTGTGCAAAAGACATGGTTGGTTATGACTTACCTTCCTGAAGCTACACTGCAAAAATACAAGTATATTTGGTCTAGTTGATGGTGTAAATATTTTAGTACCCCAGAAATAATAAAAAAATCACTTAGAAGTAAGTATTGAGCAAGATATAGGAGCTTGTTTTGCATCAATAAGTACTTAATATTGATGAAAATGTGCTTGTTCCACTGGCAGATTATGAAAAAATGTCTCATTAATATAAGTGAAACAGGCTTGTTGACTGTAGAAAAAGTACTTTTTTTTTCTTAAACAAGTAAACATTGAGTTGGGGGATGTGGCCTGCAGCAGCTTATTTGGATTTAAAGTGACAAGACGTCCTAAAACTTCCTTATTACACTTGAAATAACTCACATGTAACTTTTCAGCGAGATATGGGAGCTTTGTACTAGTGCCAGTTCCACTGGCAGATTATATCACTTCCATCAATAAATTTTATAAGTGCAATAATCAGCCAAAAACTAGTTCTTTTTCATCAATATTAAGGAATTACTGACTTAAGACAACCTCCTATATCTTGCTGAAAAGTTACTTATAAGTTATTTTCAGTGTTCTGGATTTTTTCCACTAGAAACTAGACCAAAAATGCTTGTTTAGGTTTTGTGTTTTGCAGTACAGAACTGAGCAGACTAAAATCTCATTGGAAAACAATTTTTTGTAGAAAATGTAACGAACACAGACCTGTCCTAACCTGTTCAAGGAAGCATAACAGGTCAAAAACATGCAAACTGCGTCTGAGACGTCTGTTTCTGTGGCAGTGAAGGTAAATGCTTCATCATCTGGGAGCGTGTGTTTGTGCTGATGGGGGATTGTTCTCAGCTGCTGCAGTGTCCCATTCCGGAAAGCAGCTGACCGATGGGGAATCTTTCCACCTTGAAGCGGCTTTCAGCGCCACCTTAGATGAAAGGTCCCCGGTTCCAGCTCCGCCGGGGGCCCGCGGGCCCTCTGCCCACAGGCAGCACAGCAGCTGACATACCTGATGAGGCCGGCGTGGGCACCTAATGAAACAGGAGGCACATAAACAAATAGCAACACACACACGGAGGAGCTAATGTGGGTGGAAAGTTTATCCCTAAAAACCATGTGGCTGGCTGAAATAACTTCTGGCCACTCATTGGACACTTGGACAGTGGAATTTGCCTGCCATTGAAAACACAGTCCCACACACACGTAGACAGTGAGAGGGTGTGTGCTCTCCTGGTTGAGTCCTCTACCGTGACCTCTGCTCGGCAGATGCACTTGCCGACGCAGGCCGCGCTCTGCAGACTGGCCCAACCTGTTCTGTCTGATTG